ACTCTCGGTGAGTGGTACATGGTGTAGCCTAAGCGGGTGCTGTCCGAGCGGCGCGGCCGGCTCGTAGACCAGCTGCTACTCAGCGGTGGTGTTGCAGGGGTTGGGAGGAGAGCTAGGCGGTGTTGTGGGAGGAGAGTGATACAACATTACATTGTAGTCCTTGTTGTGCTGTGGCGCTGTTTGGATGGGCTAGGCGTGGCCATATTTTGACCAGTACTTCTACTGCCACCATTGTACCAAGAGTACATGACCCCCCCCCCCCCTGGTTTTCATGTACTCTTGATTGTACATTTTCCTTAGTCTAACCTTAGTCTAACTCAGTAACTGTACTCTAGTCTAGCTCCGTAGGTCTCATCCAGGCCAACTCCCGGGGTCCCTGGTCTCACCAGTCGCCATCGGTGCCCCCTTTTGGCAAGTAAGTTTTGCTCAATGCGAGAACTACAACAAGAAGAAAAGAAAGAAAAAAAGAAAAGAAGACACGCGGGTGCTAGGGCTAGGAACCATGGGAACAGGAACATCCAGGAAGCCTGCTTACTTCTGATCACTGACATCACGTCATCAGGACGATCAGCTCAGGTACGACATCTGTAATACACAGTATGGATCAAAAGATTCACTGACCGTCCGTCCGTTTGTAGTTATGGTTATCGACAGGTTCAAACCTGTCCACGTCGTTCCCCAAACTCTGAAGTGAAGGAACGACTAGACTGGACAGGTTGTCTGGTTGTATCGACGTTACCGGTTACTAATACTAATCATGCGGCAAGAACACCTAGACTAGTCCTAGTACCTACGCTACTACGCTGGTAGAATCAGACTGGCCCAGACCAGAGCCACGCAGGACAAGGACAAGATCAGGAAATGGAGCACGGTCGACCGCCGCCTGGTTAGTGGCTGATCCCAGGATACCACTGGAAGATCAAGCTGAATCCGACATGAACTAACTTGAGTAGCAAGATTTGCATTTGGAAAGAGAAGTAGCTAGTAGTAGCTACTGTGTCTGTGAACCGGTACGGTGTACATGTACTGGATGTGCCACTGCAACCTTTTCTCAGCAAGCTGGCGATAACGCTGGACAAGTCAGCAGTACTTCGATCAGATCTACGGCCATTCACTACATCACAGCGGCACGAATCGACACTCATTGTTATAGCTGGCTAGATAAGACCGTCCAGATGTTGCAGTACAGCGCAACACGCTAATTGTCATTGTGTACGGTATTCTGAAAACTGATTTCCTCTCGGAAAACGCCCTACTGCCGCACTGGCCTATGTGTGCACGAACCAGTGCATTACAGATAATAATTATAATAATATTGCTATGGCATCTCATAAATCTCCCTCGGCGGCGAGTGACCCACGGGCAGCAGCAGGACGGCATGTAGGCCTCTACAGCAGCAGCAGCAGCAGCTCGGCAGCAGCACAGCGGCACATGGCGGCGAACGGGGCACATGGCGTTACCGGTGGACTGACTGGTACTGTAGCAGCAGGGCGGGCTGGGCCAGCGCAGCAAGATGCGGGCTGGATCCACTCCCCGCCAAGCCGGCCGCACAGCTCCGCGCCTGTAGCTCAGCAGCGCGGCACGGCGCAAGTACCTACCGTCAGGACAGCGGTGGTTAGCTCTGCCGGAAGACAGTATGTGGGAAGTGCCCCGCACAGAGTGGGTGCGCCGGTTCCAATCCAGCATCAGGCCAGAAGTCAGAACTGCACTAATGGGTCTGTTCCACTTCGTACGCCGGAATACTATTCCTATGCTACACCGCCGGTACCAGTAGCTGCCAGGCCCACGCAGCCTAGCACTAGCATACACTACAGAACAACGGTGCAGCAGCAGCCCACAGCTCACAGCACTAGTGGCAGTCAGTATGCCACAAATGACGCGACTACCCGGCCAGGTCGTATCGCCAGTGCAAGCTTGTCCTGTGTAATTGTTACTACTCTGCCAGCCCCATCTGCTGCAGCTGGTGGGATGCAACCAATGTGCCAGCCATACACAGCAGGTGGTACTAGCACTAGACGCCCAGTGCCCAGTTCGTCACAAGCTGGTATGGCTGGTGGGGTGCCTTCCGGATCTGGAGTGCCGCAGCCAACATGTAATGCTACCATGGTGCATGGGGCTCAGTCAGCTCCTGGCGTCAATGTGACAAGTGCTGTGCCCCGTCACAGTGATCTTCAAGTGCGTAAATCTGCCACAGGCATTGCCGCTGCTCAAGCGGGTGCACATGCTTCTGCTCAGCCTACTGCCAGCCGCAAAGTGCAGCCTGCAGTTTGTCACGGTCCTCTTGATGGAAGGTCTAGACCATTATCACCGGCGGGTCCCAGTAGCAATGCGGTGAACACCGACACTGACTCAGCCAACTATGAGTTGGTCCTAGCCATTCGAAGACACCCTGGCATGGTGCCCGGGTCACGTGCACAGCTCACGCCACCGTCATCACCGACCAGCAAACGAAAGGGTGCTGCCCGAGGATGCGGTCCGAAGAAGCAGGTCGTTGTTTCTCCCAACTCTGGGCCACTCAGTCCCGAGAAGGCATTTGTGATGTCCCTACCACGCCACGGGCACCCCACCGAGCAAGATGGTCCAGGTTTCCTCTATGTCTTTGAGTCGCCATTGTCGCACACAAAGAACTGTGTGAAAGTAGGCCGATCCTGTGGCGATCGTGATCACGCCCTATCCCGCGTTAAGGGTCAAGAGCGACACTGGACCTCCTGTACTGTGAAGGCAACCATGCCAACAAAGTTCCACAAAATGGCCGAGCTCCTTGTGCACAGGGTGCTGGACGCTGCAAGTGGCCCGACGGTGGAGCTTCGCGCGGTAAGCTGCGCCCTGCCGTCTTGTAAGACGTCGCACCGTGAGTGGTTCACGTGGCGGAGAGCCGAGGCTCAGCAGAGGCGCAAAGCACTTGCCACCCGCCTTGCTAACTTAGCCTTGTCCAAGCCTGCTCTCAACGATCGCATTGCAGCAGCGCTGCTCGACGCTCTGCTATGCAGCGAGGCTATTCCGGCTATGGACTGGGCCGTGAGGGTTGCTGACATGTTAACTGACAACGACGATGATGATGATTATGCGCCTGCTGTAGGCTCATGCGGTACAGGGAGACCTGGACCCCGTCTTGTCTGAATGGGTGAGTGCCCAAACGTCATCGGTATAATATCCCAAGTGTTGTCGTATTGTGGTTGTTCAGAACTGAGAGAAGTATCTTGACAGATAGTACAGCAGTTTAGGAATTTTTTAAACCGATCTTGATGCAAGCATGTTGTTGATTGGACTGGAATTGGAAACTGATCAAACAATGGCTTTATGGACTGATATGTGGCTCAGTACTACTTCGAAGTACAACATATCGGTACTGTCCCATGTGACTTTTACTGAGCATGACCACCTTCCTATTGAATGATGAATGAAGTCTTGCTGCCACAAAGATTTCGAGAAAGTACTAGAAATTTTCCGTTGAACTTGAACTTTTAGCGGCCACATGATTTTGACCATTTTCGGCCCATCATCATATATTTACTGGATAGAATTTGAGGGCTTTTATTATTATTGAAGGATGACTGGTATGCTATTTGAATGTTTAGCAAGCTACGTAGAAGAATTGCTTCGGCATGAATATACAGCATATACCAGTAGTTCATAATCACATAGCAAGGATGGAGGAGAATCCAGGCCGGGCATGCCATGAACCAGGCCGTGAGCTACGCATCTGAAATCTGTTCCTCTCTCCTTGCTATGTGCCGCGGGAACTGGGCTAGCGGATGTGGCCAGCTCAGGGCGGCTTACTCGGATCAGAGCATCTGCCTCTGAGAGTGACTGTTTGCCGGGGCCGAGTGAAGCACCCAACTTGTTTCATCGGTACTTCCGTATACTAGTAATTCTAATGTCTTCTATATCACACTGGATACTGCATAGAGCAATCATGGTTCGGGCCGAGTGGAGCTACTTACTTCGTAATTGTATACCTATGCAGCTCTATATCACACTGCATGCTCCTGGCACTGCGTGCCCAGAATAATCATCTCTGACTCCGTGCACATTTTAGCATATTTTAAGGCTGATTGATTGACCCTGTATTGCCCATCCTGTTTCATGTATCATGCTGCATTCAAAATAATGACAGGGCACTACTAAGTTCTAGTATATGCCGGATTCACGTCGCCATCATGCCCGTGACAACCAGGGACTCGGTGGCACATTGTACTACAGTGGCGACCACTGGAGAGAGAGCAGAACTACCTGCCGGCCGGAGCTCTGCTTACTCTTGCTTGAGTCTTGAAGTGTACATGGCCCTGGTAGTACTTATACCGGTACAGTGCATTACTCTTGAACAGTCTTGCTAAAAAAAGCTTTAAAAAAAGTAAAATAGGCTCCCGGCTTGCTATTCTCTCGTGTAACTGTAGTCGTTATGGCCCAAGTAACAGTTTGTTTATTTTAGCACTCGAATAGTCAGTGTGTTTGGGGAGAACTGACGACAGAACTTGTGGGGGGGGGGGGGGGCTTGGTCATGCTCTATTCAAAATTTAAATAATAACAAGAGTCCATAACTATGGACTCTTGATAACAATAATAATCTGGTACATGGATGGAGCTTGCACCTGGGGCTTGCACCTGGGGTCAGGCCAGGGCCCAGGGGCGCGGGCCCGCAGGCCGCAGGGGGGTAAGCCGGGTCATCAATGTCATGACGTAAACATGATGTAAACATTACATGCGCCATGATGCGCCACTCATCAGTGTTTACATGTTGTTGTCAGGGAGTCGTAAAATACGACTCCCTGGTTGTTGTCATAATAATAATTATGTCATTATGTGCCTGTATTATTTTTTTACACTAGTAATCATTTCATGCATGCATGATACCAGGGAGTCGTAAAATACCGGTATTTTACGACTCACGAGCTAGTTTTTTTTGTAGCTGACACGTAGATCTACGCGTAGTGCACACTGTGCATGACTGTGTAGGCTGTACAGCATTGTACTATCTGCGCATAATATCTGTATTGAAGTCTGCAAGTAACTGTACTCTGTAGTTCTTTTGCCAGTTTTGGATGGAACTAACTTACTTGTTGTATAGTAGTACTAGTAGTCTTCCTGGTTTCCTTCTATCATTTCAGCAAGGCATGTTAGAATCATGGCGGATGGTGATCCTGATATGATAGAAAGTGCTGATGAAGATGTTGATGTTGTACTGCAAACGACACGTCCCGCTCCTGTGGTCATCAAGGGCATTGGAAACATAACGATGTATGGAACGAGATGTTTCTTGTTTGGAGTGAAATTGATATGTTGGATTCTTATTCTAAGTTTTGGGTGTACCCTTTCACAACTCAGGTTTGGTTTGACAAATCGTTTCGACAATGACTTTCCTCCCAGTCTGATTGGAAAGGTAAGATTATTACAGCTTCATTGAGTGAAACGTCGAGGATCGATTTCGTGTTATAATGAGCTGATTGTTTGGGAACTGGTGGTGTTAGTGGACATTATAGTGTAACCTGGTAACTAACGTTACTTGTAGTTCCTTGGTCCTTGTTACTTTTTATAGATTTCGTGTTATGTTAATTTTTTTGTGTTAATTTTTTTGTCGTATTTCGTGAATTTTGGATGTGGTTTAGGTGGCCAAGGAGGAATTTAATGCTACTATCGACCTTGTGAACAACTTGATAGGCAGAGCAGTTCCACGCAGTGCTCGGTGGCTCGTCGCAGGCTGTCTATGTTGCTGCTGTACAGCGGGATTTTCCCTGTCTCCTGTCGTTTATCTCAACAAGAAGGTAAATGTGTGTGTAGCAAAGTACGGAACATGCAATGGTTCATGCACTGCAGATTTTACAACATGTAGTAGCAAGAGTCCATAAACAAGCGTATGCAACTGTGATCTCTTTTCTATGGGCCAGATGAGCGGCACGCCGCCTTCATCGGCTCATTCAGCAGAAAAATCAAACACGACACTTTCCCTCTGTTTTGAAATGAACTTTCGAACAGAGCTGGACTTCACCGAATCACGTGCCCAATATTTAGAGATTGTGTAGGTACTCGAACGAATCAAGCTAAAACGGATGTGCTGGTACAAGAAATTGTGGGTTTGAGTGCATGCTTTCAGATCGTGATGGTTGCGAATTACGTAATGAAGACAGCGCGCCATAACCACAGTTGCATGCCCTTGTTTATGTACTCTTGGCAGTAGTGACGGTGTGGCAGTCCAGAGCATGAAGTTTGGGCATTGCAACCCGGCAGTTTTAATTTGACGTAACCAGCTCCATCTCAGTATATACTGCGTCTACGTGTAAGGAGTTTTTGGTCGGTTGTCATGATGATCCACGTGCGGGGTGAAAATGGGAGCAGAGGAAACGGGAAACGTAGACATGGCAGGGTGGGGGTACAGTGTATACAACTTTTCAGATGAACGTGTGTATCTTTCCCAGTCATTTTCCAAGCTACCTTGTACGTGCGTTTGAACAAATTTCTCCACAAACGTGACCGCGTGCACGGAGCAAGAGCTGTGCCTGTGTAACGAAACGACCATCCGTTTTGGAATTTTCACCGTAGACGTAAACGGGAGTCAGTGAACATAGTGTGATGATGGCCTTACTGGTATTCTCTGGCTAGACTTGCATGTACCTGGTCCTGGGTTGCTTATGTTGCATGGTCAGTGCTACAGCCATCGGTCACACAAAGGAAATAGTGTAAACTGTGAATTCTGGCATACCAGCGCCATTGCAAGCGGTACACGCAGGGACTAATAGACTCTATGTATGGCTTACTGGTCCTCTTGGTGCTGGAGGATTGAGGAAACGTTGGGAGCCTGATATGGACGTGTTTGAAAGCATGTATTCATGTGTGTGTGTGTGTGTGTGTGTGTGTGTGTGTGTGTGTGTGTGTGTGTGTGCACGCGCATGTGTGTCTGTGTGTCCAGACCCAATCTAGAATACGTGGCGTCTTGGAAGCAGAAAACAACCGCGTTTACCAAAAAGTGAGTTCTGGCCGGTTTGTACAGAGAGAACCAGGTTTGCTGCTGCCAGCCCTTGTTTTATTTTATGCGCTCGCGGTAACATAGGGCATATCAGCTTTATTTTGTCTGTTTGTTCCCTGTCTCTCGCCTGTCTTTCTTGGCTCGTTTAACCTTGACATTGCCCTGACACAGGAACACGAGCACGGCATATTTCTACACCATGACATACATACATGGTCATACACCCATGCACAAGCACACAGAAGCAAAATATGAGCACATTGACCATTGTAGGTTTCAACGAAGCACAATATGAGCACATTGTAGATTTCTACTTCGAAGTACATTCCAACGGACCTATCCGGCTTGTATTTCCGGGTTTTATAGATGTTTATTTTTATTTTTTAACATAATATGTACAGTTGATAAGGCTTTTCCTTCTATCGACTCAACCTTATCGACTGGCCAGTTGACTTATCGACTCGGTCGTTTCACCCCTACTATCTAGTGACATTCTATTTTAAATATGGATTGTCACTACCGATGTGTATGTGAACGTGCCGTCATAGAAACCGCTTTGCCGCGTGTCAGGTCGATCCTGCCCGGGAGCTCATTTTATATTCGTTTGAGTTTGAAGAAGAAGTCAAGTTGTTCATTCCTGGATTCCTTGTGTTGTGTAAAAGTGCGAGTCGGACACGTGGAGGCGAACATAACAATTTCCTGACTATAAGTTAGAAATTTCCCGGATATGTCACTGCTTGCCGTTTACTTGTACTTGTTTTTTGTATTCCTTGGATTCTTCGGCTGCAGTTGGGATTCTCCTGGTGGTTAGAAAAGCAGAAGTGTCCAGCCAGCAACCTGAAAGAATATGTAAGCAATATTTAGTGCCGCCGTGCTTGCTGGCCCTGCTGAATCTGCTATGATCAACACGAATATGACACGGTGGACTTCAATATCAGAATAGGTGCACACAGTTTTCGCAATTATCGATAGGGCCTTCTGGACTTATTTTCTCAGTGACATCATGCTTTTCTTCACTGCACGGTTCTGCCTGTGTACTCGCTATTTGCTAGTGATGACGTTTCGGTTTCAGCCAGGTTTCAGTACTTTGTTGGTGTTTGCTGACTGCATGCTTTTGGACCATGCTCTTCAGGGATTTTAGATGCCTGTGTTAGGGCTCTTTCAACGGTTGGATACGTTCGTACTCTGAAGTACTAGTGCAGGTGGAATCCTGATAATTCGAATATGGCTTAATTCGAACATACCGCTTAATTAGAAGTTTTTCCAGGACCGATTTCTGTCAATACAATTCCCACATAAAATTTTCTGATAATTCGAACCTCAAACCGGACATGTCCGATTAATTCGAATTTCCACGGATTCCACTTACATAGAAAATGTGTGGGATTTGTCCTGATAATTCGAAGTTAGCAAAGTGTAATTCGAAGTTCACTGTACACTGTACTGGTCAGTTCAGTTTGCATGAGCAGGCTGTGCTTGTCAGTTCAGTTTCCGTGAAATCTGTGTGTGAAGGTCCATAGCGCAACTCTGCGTGACCATGAGAGCATTTCGACATACATATTGTGTTGTGGGTTCATGTTTGGATAATTAGAATGTCCGGATAATTAGAAGTTTTTTGCTGGCATTTGGTGGTTCGAATTATCAGGATTCCACCTGTACTTTGAATCTCAGTTTGAGAGTGTGCACAGACCTCCTGGGCAGGTTCACACGTCTACTATTATGCCAAAAAAAATGGGGATCAGCATCGTAGCCTAGGCCCTTCTTAGTTTTCTTGTGCTGCAATCTGTGCGCGATTGAGTCACCGCGTATATATCGGTATGCTGTGCTTGGTGTAATCCTAGCGCGTTCTGTGGCACCCGGCAGTACTGTACAGTCAGACATCGCTTATCCGGTCCTCTTTTACCTAGTTCCCTTGCCAACTGGTGGAATAGAGCAGATTTGCAGCAAACACTAGGACACTATGTATGAACAACAGCTTGACACGCTTCCTGATGTTTTTTTCTCTCTCTCTCTTTCTCAGGTGATTTTGATCGAGACACTAGAGCGGCTTGACATACACAGACCAGACTAACATTAGTTACTGGTAATTATCATGCCGTGCGTACTTGACATCAGGATGGAGCAAAATGTACGAAGGTAATGGTCGGGTATCAGCCGCCGCGATCCCTGGCAGAAAGAGGTTGGCTTGCAAGTAAGCCGTGCACAGTTTTGTACATACTGTAAGAAATCTAAGTCTGTCTGTAACATAGACACATGCATTGCCACTGTCCTATAACAGCCACTTGGCTTAGGCTGTGCTCAAGTGCATGGCCACACGCGTTGTCAAATTTTGCCGTTTAGTCCGCAACCTGCTTTACACACCCATCCGCACCTCAGGCCTATCCCTTTCTTTCTCAATTTTTAGCGCATATTGTTACGTATAGTCCGGATGACTGCCGTCTAGTGCAGGTTAATGTTTCCCATATTGCTGACTGGTTTGATACAGAGGGGAAGCTCCGCTTTGTTCCCTTGCTTTGAATGAGTTTCGCTCGCTGTTCATTACGTGCAAGTCCGCTGCTGTTGCCACACTGTGTTGTGGCCTGCATTGTTCGTTGACCCACGTACTGCTTTGCGTTACGGTGTCCTGTTTACCTAAGAGTGGTGTTTGCTTAGCTTTATGCCACAAACGCCACTTTCCACCTGTTGTTTTTTCACCCCTGGAGGGTACCCAGTCCCGTCTATGTCCGTTTATGCACTGTTATCATGATTGTTGCTTTCTTCTTCTTCTCTTTTTTCTATTTTTCCGTATCGCAATCTTTTTTCCGCTTGAATATTGCTGGACAATGCTACGCTAACAACGAGTTTTTTTGGTCGTGCTTTTAACTTTTAACCCTCCCCCTGCTTCTATTTTTTGAATCCACTCATTTTCTCATTGTTTAGTTTGATACTTTATTCTTTTTCTGTCCGCTACTCTACATCGTGACATCTGCCATATGAGCTGAATTTCCGCGAGAATACAGTGACTCTTTGTCTGTCTGTTCATATTCACTTGCCCCATCATTGCCAGCGTGGGGGGGGGGGGGGGGGGGGGGGGGACTCTGCATTGATGCCTCTAGAAACATTGGCATGTTTGCAAGCTGATGGGTGGATGTACAAGTCGAGGCGGTCGTGTTCTGGTTGGTTTTGCGCAGTGCTTTTCTGGCTACCTACTGCATGTGAAGTGATGCCGGGTGCACTAAACTCACGTATTGCAGGATGGTACTGTACCTAGGAAGGTTCCCATTCGACATGATACCGTATCAAGGGTCCATACCGCATATCCAAGGATGAATGCAGTAGAAGTGCAATACTACAATATTCGGAATGAATTTTCCAAAGTGCCTGTTTGAACTGAATTGAAAGGAGAAAAGAGCTTTTGCTGACCCTTGACAATAGTGCACATGGTGTATGGCAGTGGGTTCTCGTCACGAAAATGAACCCCTACAGATGTAATTTAGAGAAGCTGGAGTGTCATCACTCTGGTCATTGATTCCCGTGGAATGCTGAAGAGAATGAGAATTGATGGAAGCATGATGAAATGTTATGCACATGTACAAGTGCATTGGTATCTGCCTACATGCTCCTTTTTCCGAACAATCACAATACAATGTCATGTACATGACTGTACTATGTATTATTTACACACAAAATTGAGCGATAGTGCGTCATAACCCCTCCTGGGGTGATAGTGGAGACACTACTCTTATCAGGTATTGAACATATTGCTCCCATATGACCATACCCTTGACGGCTTGAGCAAGTTTTGTTTTGACCTACTTGATGTTTTTAAAATAATTATTACCATCTTGCTTTCACTGATGTCAGATTATCCCCTGGATCGATTATGGAGTCGAGTCGTGAAAGCCCGGCTTCACATCTCCCCGTGCCCGGTCTTTGCAGCAGCAGGGCCGGTGATTCGGGCCATGACGTCATAACCACATGCATTCTTTTTTTTTCTTTTTTAGTTTGCACGGTTATTTTTTTCAATCATCTGTTTTGTCCTTATTGCATGGAAATATCAAGTGCAGCATGTATTCGTCTGTATGACGACTGTCGTTACAGTATGCGATGATATCAAGTGAACCTTGGTAGTGGAGGTCCTTCGTCAACTGCTGATATGGTTGATGGGAAGGAGGAGGCCGAGGCAGACCTCACCAAGCCTGTGAAGGCGTTAGAGGTTAGTCCGACACTCATAATAATTATTCAAATTGCAGAATTTACTGCATATTGCGCTTGCATGTGTTCTCACCTGGTATTTTTGATTTGCTGCTGCCATTGTCGTGTGATACATGTGCAGGAAAAATGGAAATTGCTTCCAGCCTTTCTCAAGGTGAGGAATTGTTACGTTTTTGCTCCCTGACATCAGTTTCTCTGAAGTTATTTCTGACTCAATCAATCTACACCTATTTTATTTCTACAAGGCATACATGTATTCCTAGGTAGATTTCTATGCTTTCACTGGTGCATGGTCACATTGGTGATGGGTGGTGAAGTGAAGGAGATTTAGGTTTGAAACTCGGATGTTGAGCCAATAATAAATGTAGAAAGGAAAGGACATATGGATACGAGTTAAGAGTAACTCTCCACCACTAACTGGATACTATATACAGTCAGAAAGTGCAATAACTAGGCACACAACTGACAGAGTACTGAGACATTCGACCTCCTGACACCTAGCTTCAACACATCTCCGTAGCGCTAACCAACAGCCTTCCAACTCGGAAGGTTCAAGGTTATGGAGAGACCAAAGAGGGGAAGGTAAGCGCAACGAAAACGAGCTGCTTTGCTGCTTCGAATTGTAGTTAGACTGCTTTGTCAAGTATCTTACTGGTCTCGTCATCGTCCAGTAACAATTGACATTCTTTGTTCCGTTGGGACTGTAGCTTGTGCCGTTTTCGTTGCGCTTACCTTCCCCTCTTTGGTCTCTCCATAACCTTGAACCTTCCGAGTTGGAAGGCTGTTGGTTAGCGCTACGGAGATGTGTTGAAGGTAGGTGTCAGGACGTCAAGTGTCTCAGTACTCTGTCAGTGTTGTGCCAAGTTGTTGCACTTTCTGACTGTATAATTATAGTATCCAGTTACAGTGGTGGAGAGTTACTCTTAACTCGTATCCACATGTCCTTTTCCTTTCTAGATTTTGGTTTATTTGGTTTTGTTGATTTCTAGAGATACACGTTAAATCAGTGCACGTCGACTAGTGGTGAAACGAATATACCGAATGTTCGAATATTCGTTCAGTTTGACACATTCGAACGAATATTTCTCATGGCGAATATTCGTTAACCCGGTATGCAGAATCAACCGGGCGCGTTCAAACTTTCGTAACTTCGTGAATACTTGACCGAATCGCTTCATTGAAAGATCTATCGGTGTTAGCAAACTCTCAGCTGTTGTTTAGAAGCCACCCGAACGCAATCCGAGGTCCTGGAGGGGAGGTATGGCGCTCGAACGAAAAATCACGTCTCAAGCTGTTTTTTGAGCCTGTGAAAGGCACTTCAGCTGGGGATTTTTTTGTGAAAAATGACCTAGAAATGATGGAGAAATATATGCCTTCGTTCGTCATGCCTAATAATAGTGACAATATCCAATAAAATGACTGAGAGGAGGGCATGTGATGTCATCCGTGTTAACGAAAGAATATTCGTTCGTTCGTTCGTTAAGCCGAAGAATATTCGGCTACTGGGTTTTGATATTCGTTTCACCACTAACGTCGACATAGCGGAAAGAACGGATTTGTTTGGCATATCGTCAATGCACACAGTCATTGCACTGCAGTGCTATCAGCATTGTGTACATCGCCTTTCTTGGTACCGCATGCAGTTTGAGGATTTCTGACCCAAACGTGGATATGCGGTTATTACCGTATACCAGCGCCTTTAAAGCCATGGCCTTATATTCGAAACACCGCTGCTTTCCTAGATATTTTAGATGCAAAATGACTCACCCACTACGCCATGCCATAACAGTCAAAGCCCACACAGAAATTTCAATCTACATCCACTTGTTCACCCTTCCTGCTGGGCTGTAAGTTTGTTAGCATTTTACTTATTCCTTCATTTTTTTAACAAAAATACATCAAAATAATGTCATTTCATTTATGAAGCCCATGGCTTTATAATCGAATATGCCGCCATGGCTTGAAAGGTGCGGACATACGGTATGCACCGCGAATTCAGCAGCAATTACAGAATGAAACTTGGTTCCTTCTAATGTTTGAGTACATGCTTCCTTCTTTCCTACCGACTTGACTTGGCACTTGGCTAACTCATGTCATGAGCACATGAGAGCCCACCAACCCTCTCCATGAGAGGCCTGCAAGAATGCACCGCTAAGTGGCACTAACATACATTCTAGGATTGCTGAATGTGGGCCTGTGCAACTCGTGACTCACCGATTATACATCAGACACATCTGAATAGTTGAACGGAGATTTAGTAGATTGAGTTGGAGGAAGACAAATAAGCACACTTAGCCACAGCAGCCACTGTGTGGTGTGTGTGTGTGTGAAACTTGGAGGCATAGTTCGCTGTTTGCTCCACTCCTCTCGGTGTGTACAACAGTACATAACCCCCAAGAGTGTGCAACTCGACTATGAGTACTGTCCCGACAGAATTTCAAGTTGACATCATTTTTATGATGCAATGCGCACTGTACACGGATTATCAGACGAATCCGGAACCTGTGGTTGCCAAAGCCTATCTGATCCTGTACGAAATATTGCAAAGAAAAACGTGTGATGCGTTGACACCCGTACACATGTTGTAAATCACTGGTGCATGGAGCATTGCATAATAAATAATGACGTCAACTTGAAATTCTGTCGGGACAGCAGGGTATGTGGGAGTTGCACATCCTGGGAGGTTATGTACTCTTGGTGTGTATCAGCAATGGGGAAAGCTATAAGTGCATGGCCGCACAGAGCATAACTTCAGCTGTGATCATTTATTTGTATACAAGTATACCGGTATCTGTTGATCTGCGTGAGTGATTGCCTTCTGTTGTCTACCTGCTGATGGTGCAGGTGAAAGGACTGGTGAAGCAGCACATCGACAGCTTCAATCACTTTCTGAATGTGGAGGTGAGTCTCCGTGCTCTCCCTGTCACTCAGGGAGGGAGTGCATTAACATTTGCAACCGGAGAAGAAGCCGTGTGCTGTTCGAAACTCTTGAAACTATGCACGTATTTGATTTGAGTTGGCAGAACATTGCCAGCTTTCAGTTGAGCGGCTTGCTTTATGCTAAATGTACTGGAGAACATGTTGCAGTACCAGTGAAGCCTGCCTACATGGTACATCGATGATCCCATTTTGCTTTCTAAGGTTGCACAGTCTTACTTTTGACCATAAATAGGGTATCTGTGGACCCTTTTCAGAATCGCGTTTGGCCGCGCAGTGTGAAATGGTCTTTCTATCATGTTTTGCTGTTTTATTCCTCCAAAAAATGAGCCCACACTAAGTTCATTTGTTGGCCATGTACATGTATCGGCAAGAGTACATAACCCCCAAGAGTGTGCAACTCCAGCTAGTATATGGGGTCTGCGACGGCAGAACTTCACATCACGCGACCAACCCGTACACATTATTTGCACTCTGTGCATGATAGATACTGGGTTGTACGCAGCCCAGCTTTGGGTACAACTCTCTTGTGATCACTTTGCACTGTTTGCCAGCATAACCTTTTGAACCATGCCACGTGATGTGAAGTTTTGCCGTCGCAGCACAGCATAGAGGTTGTGCAGGCAGTTGCACACTCTTGGGGGTTATGTACTCTTGGTATCGGCCAGGCTTAGTGTCGATTGAAGATACAGACACACTAGTCCGAAACCCGTTTCCGGCCGAATTAGGATCTAGTTTTGAACCTAATTCGGCCTAAATTGGGTTTGAAAAGGCCGGAGATCGGCTACTTGTATTTCTAAATGGACTGTAGAGGCACAGTTGCTGTAGTGTGTATTGGGAATCTGTTTGTGTGCCACCGTGACAACTGGCTATGCGTAATTTGTCTCTTGTTTACAGATTCGCAGCATCGTGAAGGCCAATGAGAAAGTAGTCAGCACTGCAGATCCGTCCTGGTATCTGAAGTAAGATGGTACACGTGCATGAACGTCGTTGCCTCACCCACCATTTGTATACTCACTCCCTCACTTTCACTGCAATTGACGGCATCCGATTTGCCTTTGCTGGATACAACCTGAACCCGACGTATAGCTAGTTTTTTTTGTCCATTCTCGCATCCTCATTTCGTTTCCATTCCTGGTGCTGCTGCTGCCCAATGTCTCACTCTTCACATGGTGTCTTTCTGCTTAGGTATTTGAACGTTTACGTTGGCACACCGAATGTCGATGAATCGTTTAATATCACGAAGGCAATTTCGCCACATGAGGTAAGTTCACACCCATGCTGTGGTGCAGTTTTCCCATGTCTCAGTGCAATTCCCATGTCTCACTGCAGTTTTCCCATGTCTCACTGCAGTTTCCCCATGTATCCTAAACAGGCCACTATTACACACTCAACCTTGCCTTCCTGTTACGGTGCTGTCTTCAACTTAGCCTCCAAGTTGCTTTCTTATTTCTTGCCATCATCCATTCCGTGCCTTGTTCTGTGTCTTGTGTGTGCGTGTGTGTGTGTGTGTGTGTGTGTGTGTGTGTGTGTGTGTGTGTGCTGTTAGTGTCGACTGCGCGACATGTCCTACTCGGCTCCCATTATGGTGGACATTGAGTACATACGCGGACAGCAGGTTAGTAGTTTCAATGCTCGCGACGAGAAGCCTTACGGGCGCATTTCCCAGTAAATGTGCATGCTGAATGCTGCCTGGTGCTGTCTATAGGTATACGTTTGCATTGCTGGTGTCAATGGATTACAGATTTTTTCATGGCGCAGCGTTGCAAATTTTGTACTGTATGCGAGCGGTACGTTTGTGTATAATCAGGATGACACTTTTTTTTTTTTTGTCATTATCTATTAACCCTTTGGAGTCCATGGTTCGATTTCGAACTCGAACCATGGGCATTTTGTATGCATGTGGGCGCAGTCAAACTTTCAGTTCTCGGCCAAATCTTGACCAAATTCAACAATCGAAGGGTCTAGATGGTAGAGAAAACTCTCAGCTATCGCTTCGAACAGGTCCGAAGTCTCTCCGATGAAGTTTGAGTGAGCGGCGAGCGATCAAACAGTTCGAATTTTCTGCGCTGCGTGCTGCGAGTCAGCAGCGCGTGAAAAAAACGGATTTTCCCAGCTTCATGACAGGCGGCACGTGCCAGGACCGGCGCGGCGCGAAGTCACGGCAAGGTAAGCTTCTACTCGAAAAAAATTGAACAGTTCCGAGCTAGATTCAGTGAAATGGCTACAGGAGACCGATTTCCTCTCAGATCTGGAGCTGGACTCGCGTTTGGGGCGCGTTGTGGCGGACAATGAAAAGTGCTCTTGGCGAGTTTGGGCGCATTGTATTTCTATCATCAAGAGCTTTCCAACGAGCCCAAGATCTTCAAAATCGGTGAAGTAGAACCAAAGTTATGTTGGAAATGGAGTGCGCATTTTCGTGACTGCCACAAATTCTGCGGAAGCAAAAAAGTTACGGACTCCAAAGGGTTAAGGGCTGTGGCCATAAGTGGCGTGTGTGTGCGATACGCATGCGTTTCTGGGCTCAGACACGCATGTAAACACTTTCAAGAAAGATGTGATGTTTCGCACATGGACAAGACAACAAGAAGACGGGAGGATGTGTATGGCTTGTGGAAAAGTACTCATTTTTCAAGATTTTTAGCATTTTTTGTGATATGGTTGGGTCTCTTTAACTCTGATGGTGAGCCAAGAAAACTTTCGAGGGAGAAAAGGGGAGAAACAGAGGGAACACTGGGCACACGTTACGCATTAGAGTTGGTGAACTCTATTTCGCTGGGCACAAGTTAACAGCTTAGCAACCTTCTGCATGTTCACATGTTTCCCATCGATAGCTCCCCAGTCAGTGGAGTAGGTTCCACCGATCGCGAAGCTCGGCACTGATGTCCATCCATCCTTCCGCAGATGACGGGGGCGGAAGCATACTTTTAGCACTCACTTCTTTTTGTTATGCCTGCCATCGACCATTGAACTTCCAACCATGCACCTGGTCCTGGTGTCATGTGCTTATACATGTTCTTGTATGTTCTTGTGTCGCCGTGAATGCAGAGAATCATTCGCAAGGCATTCCCCATCGGCCGGTAAGGATATTTACCTATTCACACACACACACACACACTCCCTGTTGCTCTCAGACGGTGACCTGTGTGCATACAGTAATGGACTGTGTATGCCTTGATCATGCACATCAAGGTAGCAGGAAACATGATCTGAGAGGTCTGAATAGTGCGTTGCTATTTGCGTGAGTGCATCCTCGCTTCTATCCATATTGTTGAGCATGATCATCAAGTTGCTCTCCATGCCTGCTCTCACCTACTCAAACGATTTGTGTATTTGCACGTGTGTGCGTGTGTGCGTGCGTGTGTGTGTGTGTGTGTGTGTGTGTGTGTGTGTGTGTGTGTGTGTGTGTGTGCGTGCGTATGTGTGCATTTTCGTGCATTTTCTTGTCAGGATGCCAATCATGCTGCGTAGCTCACATTGCGTGTTGCACGACAAGAGTACGTCGGAGCTTGCAAAGCTGAAAGAGTGCCCGTATGATCCTGGTAAGCTGTTGTTTGCGTAGTGCCCGTATGATCCTGGTAAGCTGTTTGCGTGGTCCTGGTGTACTGTCGGTGCGCTGTCAATCTCCTGTAAGAAGGCAATATGGCGATGAATGGTCTTGAGTCTGTACCCATTGTGTTATATAGAGTGAGCACAGTGAACTTGAATTTGCTATATCAACACATACTGGAACTATTGTGGAATACCGTGAAGTGCCGTTGAATGTTGTTGATTGACGTAGTTTACATCACATACATGTGTTTTTGTGCAGGCGGATATTTTGTTGTCCGCGGCACGGAGAAGGTCATTCTCATCCAGGAGCAGCTGTCTAAGAACCGAATGATTGTCGAAACCGACCGCAAGGGCATGGTGGCCTGCACTGTAACAAGGTGAGACGAAATGCGCTGTGTCGCCATGTATCAGTACTAACTGTATCACACTCCTGTATCACAGCGCTACATGGCATTCAATATGTTTTTCGATTTTGACAGCATGTTACAAGGCGAGGACGCGATAAATTACAAATAATTTAATTACAGAGGAAGACAAGAAAATAACATCACAAATCCTTTCCAGACGTGATCCCTGCAGCGGCAGCAACGTGAACAATACTACGGCGGCAACACGACGACTTCTACAACACAAAAAAACGAAAATTATAAAAATCCTACCAACCCGTAGAGTAACGAGGGTCCGAACCTGGGTTTTCCCAATACGGTTCAGATGGTCGCAAGACCGGGACTCTGCCAACCGGGTTATGGTTGTAGTCAGGAGCACTACGCGTCCTCGCCTTGTAACATGCTGTCAAAATCGAAAAACATGTTAAACTACCAAGCAAGGCTTCTGTATATACCATGGCATTCAATAGCAGTGGCTTCTAGCACTCTCACTGCCTTGAACTGTTCGGAACCACATGTATACTTTTGAAGTTCAATAGCAGTGACTTCTGGCACTGTCTTGCATGGTTCAGGACTATGTGTATTTCTGCAGTTCAATAGCAGTGACTTCTAGCACTGTCTTGCACTGGTCAGAACCGCATGACATAATATCTTTGTGAGTTCTAGCACTGTCTCGCACTGTCTCATACTGTTTACTTCGCTAGCATTTCCCTTTGACTGTACGTGAGATCGTGTTCTACCCGTGTCTTACCTTGCACGCAGTTCCACTCATGAGCGCAAGAGTCGCACCAGTCTGATCACCAAGCATCAGCGCCTCTACATCAAGCATAACACGTTCACGGATGTGAGTACCGGTACATGCACTAGTGTTGCCACCACATACATACAGTCATACTAGTACTACAACAGACCAGCTGTGAACACATAGTTGTGCTTTACCAAGGTCTCGGCTCGTCTCTGCTTTGTTGCTCTCTGATCTTGCCTGTGTTTGGGAATTTGTGATGTGTTTTTTTCTTATTCTTGTCTCATGGTGTGTGTGTGTGTGTGTGTGTGTGTGTGTGTGTGTGTGTGTGTGTGTGTGTGTGTTTGTTCGGTAGGATATTCCTGTTGTAATTGTTTTCAAAGCAATGGGTATGGAAAGTGACCAGGAGATTGTTCAGATGATTGGTAAGTGAAGTGCCACCCATCACAAACTGCCACCCATCGTAAACTGCAGCCTCTTTCTAACTAACTACTCCGCAAGAGGAGGGATTGACTCATAGACAAGGCAACTTCCCTGCATTTCCTTTCACCAGGCAGTCGTACCAACTTTGTATGACTCCCTGCTCTCACACACGCACGCAAGGTCGAACTTTGCCTGTATGTTGCATGGAGAATGTAGTCTGAATGCATATGCATGCGTACATGTACATGTATGCACACAGTCAGACATTGCACTGCTTTACACACCTACTGCTGCTGTATTTCTGCCACCAGATGCTTAGCCACACATACTGTACAATGTCATGCAGTGCAACATTGAACTTATCCTTTTTATTGTAATCGTGTTGTGTTTGTGTACATACCTTGCCGCCTCTGATTCACTCCATGGTTTGCATGTTTCTCTATAGGCACTGAAGAGGACTTGATGGCTGGGTTTGCTCCATCGTTGGAGGAAGCGGCTACCAAGCAGATTTTCACTTCCCAGCAGGTATGGAGATGGTGCAAACATGTTCTCGCTGGTCCATGCATGTTCTAAAGACTGGTGTAAGCGCAACTACACGATTTTTATATCCCGTTCACTAGGTCCTTTCTTGTGTGTTATAAAAAAAATTCGCGGTTCGCTTGAGACTCAGTTAGACTGAGTTTTTGGCATCTGTAGGAACGCAGCCACCCTGCAAAGATGAAAGGAGCAGATGTTTGTTGTAAATGGATTCTTATTTCCTGCTGCTGTTGCTCTGGTGGATCTTGTTTGCTTTGTGACTGTGCTC